TATCTCCTTCCTAGCAACCATGCTATCGAGCCCACAGAGGAGAAAGAAGTCACAGGGCAAGAGGCACTGGAGGCTAGCATCAGCTGGGGTTGCCAGTCCGAGCAAGCTCTGGGTCCCTCTCATGAGGAAGCTGTCCTAGAACTGGACTTTGGAGAAGATGAAGATGAGACCTCAGATGTCCTAAGAGGACGAAGAGGATGACGATTTCTTCATCACACCCAGAGCTGCAAAGCCCAGGCCCTTCGTCGCTCCTGGGGATGGGGATGAGAGAAGCATGCCAACTTCTCTCCCCACAGAACTCTTGGACGTGTACAAATGCACAGCGGAGAAGCTGGACATCCCCTGGCCCACTGTTGTAATGGAGATCATCAACAGAAGGGGAAGAGATTGTCCCCGGCTAAAAGCGCGATGAGACAACTTCTCCCAGTCTTCCTGGAGCTGCTAATGGAGATGGCACTTCCATGTAAAGACCACCCGTATCGCATCAGGAAGCCAATACCCAGTGCCTCGTCCCTCAACTGTGACGCAATGCAGAGCCTGGGTCTCTTGTTTATACCTCTGATGGAACCGTTGGTCACGGCACACCTCCATCCTCGGCTTTTCTCTCACTCCTCACTGTGTACCAAGTGTAGATACGTGATGAGTACGAGAGACCCCTGGACCCAGTTTCACTGGCGGAAATACAGTCATATACGTCATCTCTGACTTATGCCTGCATGTTCAACACCGCATAGTCCAGGCAACAGGGAAAGCACTAGGAACCATGGTCTTACAGGAACGAGCATGGTGGCTTAACCTCGCCAGTAGTCTGACTAAATACAAAGACAATATCCTCTTCATGCCATGCCAGGTCCAGAGGGTATCTTCATCTCTGCACTGGCCTCCATGCAGCAACGATGTGAGGCCAAGAAGAAGGAAGACAAGGCTCTCCAGCTTTGTCTCCCTCACAAAGCCCCGGTTCCCCCCTTGGCTGTGCAGCTTCTCAGGTGCCGCAGTTCAAAATTCCTAAACAGCCAAAACCTCAGCCCACACCGCCCACTCCTCCAGGCAGGAGAACAGGTCAAGCTGGCCCAGGAAAGCCAGAGCCCCTGCTACAGCTCCACCGGCTAAACCCGCCTCAGTTTTCAGGTTTGGAAGAAGAAGAGAGTGGCTTGACAGGCCCTCTCCCTGCCGGTGAAGCAGCTGGCTTTTCCCCATGCGCCAGCCTCCAGCCGCCATGCACTATATCAGAGCGAGCCAGGAGGAAAAGAGACATTGCTGCAGAGGGTTTAGCTGTTGCCCCTCTCTCATGGCCGCAAGCACACACACGTTTTCAAAAAACTGAAAATAAATGTCCCACTGTCGCAACCAGGCCAAAGGCCGAGGGTGCACTTTATGAAAAGCCAAAACAAAAAATAATAATAAACAAAATGCCTATGAGTGCCTGCACTGACTGTGTCCACCCCGCAAAAAGCTTTTCCCGGGGCCGGGGAGATGAAACCCCCGGTTCCTGCTATGTCTTACAGTGGCGAGCGGCCAGCGTTGTGTGTCTCCTCACTCCCTCAGACGGGTCAGATGGAGCGTACTTGCGGCACTACCTGGGGTTTTGCGCACGATCTCATGGGGGTACAGACTTTAGTTTGCTGTCTTTCCTTCCCGCTTCTCTGGTGTGATACACACCCAGGCCTGGGGAGAGTCAGCTCGTGTTTTATAGGAGGAAATCCTCTCCCTGTTGAACTAAAGAGCAATAGCTGTCGTCCCTCCTGGACAAAGTCAGAGTGGTTTTTACTACAGGTATTTTTTTATCCCCAAACGGGGAGGGGTGGGGGTATTGGGATCCTCCCTATCCTGGACTCTGAACAAATTTCTCAGGAAGTACAAATTCAGGATGCTCATGCATGCATCTCTGCTGCGTCTGGTAGGGCAAAACAATTGGTTCACCTCGATCGACCTGAAAGATGCATATTTCCACATTCCCATTTATCCCCCACACAGAAAGTATCTCAGATTCGCTTTAGAGGGGATTTGTTACGAGTACCTCGTTCTGCCCTTCAACCTGTCTCTCAGTCTCAGGGTGCTCGTACGGTGCACAGAAGTAGCCATCACCCCGCTGAGATGCCAGGGCATTCTCACATGTCACCTACTCGATTAAATTTCATGATAAACGCAGAAAAGAGAATGCTTTCTCTGGCACAGAGCTTAAGCTTTCTGGGATTGTCTCTGGACAGGTGGAGCGAAGACTTTCAGAGTGTGTCTCACACTCTTTCGTTCATGCAAGTCTGTTCAATTCAGATCTTGTCTTCGACTACTCAGTCTGATGGCTTCTGCCATCTTTGTAATCCGTCTCTGCCACCTGCCTGAGGGAATTCCAGCATTGGGTGGCTTCCCACAGACTGGATCACTGTGTCACTGGAGAGCCCCATATTTCCTGACCCAAGGCGTGCCCATGGGTTCCGTCCTGTCCAGGACAGTAGAGGCTGGGGCGGTATACAGGAGGGCCAGTCTGTGAGAGGCCACTGGAGCAAGGGTCTCCAATGAACTCACATTAACTTTCTAGAGCTCTCTGCAGTGTTTTTCAAATTTGGGCGTGTTATGGCTGGGCCACAGTGGATCTTTTCAGCTCAAGAGAAAACTCACACTGCGCAATGCATTTCTCCATGCGCAGTCCAGATGCTTCCCTGGGCATAGACGCACTAGTGTATGGCTGGCCGCACAAGCTGCTATACACATTCCCTCCCCTACAGTGTGAACTACATCTATATGAGTCTGTTATTAGCTGCTGGTGGCTGCACCTGCAGCAGCCGACTTACATCTTTAAACAAGGAAATACTGTTTTATAGATGGATGAGAATGATGAAGCAGCTTCATTTCTAAAATAATATTTCAATTAAATCTCCTTCCTGATTACTTTTTCATGCTGAGGTTTATTACACAAGTCATTAATGTGTTCCTGTAAGCAGAGGCTCTGTGCTGTTGTATGTGTAATTTAACTTACACAATTAAATTTTCATGAGTAATTAACCCCCTGACGAAGGGACTGTAACCTCCAAATTTTATAAAGCAGACTGAAACAGAAATAAGAGAGAAGAGAATATCATGTTAGGAAAGGTGTGTTCACAGTCTCAGCTTCAGCATTATCTTCATTCTTCAAAGTCTGACTGTGTAGGCTCACAGTAAACCGTGAACTCTAGGCTAACAGTTACCTGTAATCGCTAAGCTAACATTTAGCTTTGTAACACTAGCTAACAGTTAACTGTGAATGGAAGGCTAGCAGTTTCCTTTGAACGCTACGTTAACTGTTACCTGTGTCACTCTAGCTAACAGTTATCTCTGAAAGCTAAGCTAACACTTACCTGTGAACGCTATGCTAACAGTTACCTGTGTAACTGTAGGCTAACAGTTACCTATGAGCACGATGTTAACTGTTAACTGATTCCTGTGTAATTCTAGGCTAACAGTTACCTGTGGATGCTAAGCTAAAAGTTACCTGTATATAATGCTAGGGTAACAATGTGTAACACTAGGCTAACAGTTACCTGTGAATGCTAAGCTAACAGTAAACTGTGTAATGCTATGCTAAGAGTTACATGTGAACGCTTGGCTAACAGTTACCAGCTAACGGTAGGCTAACAGTTACCTGAGTAATGCTACGCTAAGAGTTACCTGTGAACGCTAATTTGACTCTTACCTGTGTAACACTAAGCTAACAGTTACTAGTGTAATGTTAGGCTAACTGTTTCCTGTGAACGCTAGGCTAACAGTTACCAGTGTAATGATAGTGCAACAGTTACCTGTAATGCTAGGGTACTTGTATGACACATACAGGTATTGTGGCTTGTATCAGGAACAGCCAGGAAGAGGAGTACAGGGATCTGACAATTGCCTTCATTGAATGGAGCGACAAGAACTGCCTCCTTCTGAACATCTCCAAGACCAAGGAGATGGTCATAGACTTATGAATACCCGGTTGTGCTCAGTAAACTGGACTGGTACCTGAACACGGATGCCATCTACTGAAAGGGGCAGAGCTGGCTCTTTTTTCTCAGGAGGCTCAGGTCCTTTAACGTCTGCAGTGAAATACTGCACATTTTATCAGTCAGTGGTGGCCAGTGTCCTTTTTTATGATGCGGTGTGCTGGGGCAGCAGCATCCAACATGAACACAAGGAGACTGTACAAGCTGGTTAAAAAAGCTGTAAATGTGACATTTTCCCTTCTAAAAACAGTCATAGCTGTGTCCTAATTTAGGGGCAGCATCGTTCAGAGACAACATAGACCATGAAGACCTAGAGAGGATTTCCACTTTGCTTCACCAGCTGTGCCCGCCCTTACCCTTGCATTACAAAGCGCCACTGCTGTCGCCTAGCAACCTTGAGAACACAACTTTTCTTCACAAAACCTTGAGGTTTTAAGGCCCTTGTTTTTCACAGGCTCTCTTGTGTGTTGTTTGCTGCTATATTATTTTTATTACCAATGATCAATGAATCTTGGGATAGGTTGGACCATGTCACCTGTCAGAGCCTTTGAGGTCCAGGAAAAGAAGAACGCATTTGAAATGGGACATTCTAGTTGGACACAGTCGGTATTCAGATAGACCCTCTGAAGGTTGAGACTTCTTAAGGATGAGACCCCTGAAGGATGAGACTCCTGAAGGATGAGATCCCTGAAGAATGAGACCTCTGAAAGATGAGATTCCTGAAGGATGAGACCCCTGAAAGATAAGCCTTTTGAACAATGAGACTCCTGAAGAATGAGACCTCTGAAGCATGAGACTCCTGAAGGATGAGACCTCTGAAGGATGAGACCCCTGATGATGAGACCCCTGAAGGATGACCCCTGAACTGAGCACAACTGAAAAAAACAGTTTTATGTTGTGTAAAGATGTCCCATTGAGTCCCCTGTTTGGTTGTTTGTGGTAATGATAATGATGTCACATGGTCTAACCCTGGGTCGAGGTTCAACACTTAATGGTTTAGTTGTGAACCTTTGTAATGTAGATTTTCCCTCTGGTGTGTTTTTATAGGATGAGGTCAGTGCTGCTGCTGCTGCTGTTGGTGTCTCTCATCACCATCCAAACTGTGACTGGAGGGAAAAACAAAAAAGGTAGGAATCCCTCTTTTATCTCTCATCTTCTTCTAAAAACAAATTATAAGTTCATATATTCTATGTAAATGGATATAGTGATTGTTAAAAAATATGAAGATACAGCAAGTTGTTTTTTTCAGGAATTAATGTCCTAAACATTTTTGAATTGGACTGCTACCATCTCAATGTGTAACAGAGTGGGTGGAGGAATGATGGTGTCACTGGCCCCTTATGTTCAGAAACAGTCAACATTCAAGTACAGAGATGGAGTCAGGATGCGGTTAGTGTTACTCAAACAGCTAACCTGTCCAGAGACATCTACAGCAACTCTGAAGGTCACTGATTAACATGATTCAATTGTTTCATTTGACGCCAACAAAAATGTAAAATTGCAATTTGAGGTTTAGAGGCTTTGGATGGTTTGTTTTGAAAAATGTGTTGTGACAGTGAATGGTGCTCACGTTCAGATTCATTCGTTACAGATGGATCTGTTCAGTTCATCAGTCACCAAAGACAGGATCATGTTAAATAAACATGTTCTGCTCATACACGACAGAGCTCATAGGAACTATGATTGATCTTGAACTTGATTCATTCAACAGAACTATTATGGAAATCACAGGCTGTATTATAAAGTGTTAGAGCTGTTCCTTTAAAACAGTTTGCATATGTTTTAATTTGAATTTACAGCTGAACTTGTTTTCTATGAAAAGATACTAAATGTCTAAATTAAATTTTTTAATGTAGAGGTATTTCATGACTCATAGACACTGACTGTCACGTTGTACCTGGTCTGAGTGCTGCACAGGTTTGTGGCACCAAACACCTAATGGCTTCAATGTGCTTTGTTCATACACACAGTTCCCAGTGACCTGCAGTCACCTGACTGGTTGAACTGGGAACTGGCCACCAGTAGTAATGTCATTTAATTTACATGGTTATTGAAACTATGTGTAAAATAACTAGTTAATATTCTTCATTCTGTCCTCAGAGAAACACAAACCCTCCCAGTCCAGGTCAGAATGCACTGACTGGCGCTATGGCAACTGTGTGCCTAGCAATGGGGACTGTGGAGCAGGGTTTAGAGAGGGGTCATGTGACCAGCAGACCAAGAAGATGAAATGTAAAGTACCTTGCAACTGGAAAAAAGACTTTGGAGGTAACACACACACACACACACACACACATACACATACACACACACACACACACACACACACACACACACACAGAATGGTAGTACTATACTTGACTATAATGTTATAGATACAGTCGATCTGAACGGAAGATAAACTCAGTAATCTGCAGATAGAGTTAGTGGATGTGAACTTTGTGTATTTTCCGCAGCCTTCATCAGATTCACCACCAACACTGACTGAATGACTCCACTGAAAACAACATCACAAGCACCTGTAATGTATGATGCAACTGAGTGCAGCAGCCCTGCATAAATATATCTGTGGAGCTGTCATCACACAGTCCTATCTGCCCTGATGTTTGTCACACAGTCTGTGTTGTTGTCTGAAATTTGCACTGCATTAACTGTTTTTTTTACTAGTGTGGATCAGTGGAGGATTAGTCTGTAGTGAAGTGGTTTGGACTCGTCAGAATGTATTATCACATCAAAGTGTCCCCACACTTTAAAAAAGACAAAGAAGAGAACTAACTAAGAACTACCTAACTGAGAACTAAGAGACAGTAGAACTTATGAGTTGTCACAGTGAAAACAGTCTGAGGTAGGTTTCAGGTTTTAGGACAGTGTTCAGGTGAACTTTATGGTACACAAAGACAGGGGAGTTCTCAAAGGTAGAGACATGAAAATTACTATTGGGTCTGAGCTCTACCTCCTGAGCTGGACACCAAATATGTTGGATTTCAGTTGTCTATCAATTTATTGGCTATCATAAATGAAGAAAATATTAATATTAAAAATATTAATAGTAAATAACAACTTTAAAATTAATTAAAGTCCTCGGGGCACCAGCCTAAACTAATAGGCAAAATAGCCAATATGGTTTTAGTCTCAATTTATTACCATTAATCTGGAACTCTGATTAACCATTAGCTTACTAACTATAACCAAATTACCATATCAACAGTAAGTTAAAGTTGAAGGATTGGAATTCTACCAAGTAGAGGTTGGCAATATTCACGCTTGTGCAACATTAAACACACCAGTAGTTATACTTAAAGGCATTTATTTACAATGGAGCAGAGTAAAACACAATGTCTGATCTAGTATATACAGGTGTGTGTATGTGTGTGTGTGTTTGTGTGTGTGTTTGTGGGGACACAAACAAAGGCAAGATGGCCGATTCAAAGTGGTCACTGTGACCACATGACCTGAACAAAGAAGACTACACAAGATGGCGGTAAACAAAGAAACTACTCAAAATGGCCGCTGAGACCACCTGGGGTGTGTGAGAGGGAAGGTGTGAGTTTCTTTGTTAGCCTTGCTCATGTAATCTAAAGGTACCAGGTTAGAGGGAGGAGGTTAGCTTCATGCAGGTACTAGAACTGAGACGTACTAATATGTGTGTGAACATACGTGTACCTGATTAACTGTATTACTGACCACAACCTAAGCAAACATTACAACAACCAGACATCAATCAACAAGTACATTAACAAAGTTAAAACTTCTGCTGCTTAGCTATGCTGTGCTGTGCTATGCTGTGCTGGGAAAGGTTAGGCCCAGTCAGTTAACATTACCCACTCCTTGGAACAAACAAAGAGGTCCTTTCCAGTGTTGTTGTAAAGTCCAGTGAGTTGGGAGGCTTCCTGGTGGAGTAAAGTCCTGTCTGGCTGTGTTGCTTTGCTGTTATCTCCTTTGTTCTCCTTGCAGAGTTAGCTGTTCCCCGCTAACTCTGCTATGACTCCTGTTCCTTGTAAAATCAGCTGGCCTTGTGTCGTAGCTGCTGATTCTGAAGAGAATTTGGTTCACTCTCAGTTAATCCGAAGCAGGTCGCTTTTGTTGAGGAGAAGAGTGTTGCAGGCTGCTGTGAGCAGGCGAGAGAGCTGGTTTCTCAGGTAGCAGGGCTGACCTGGGCTGGGGCCATGCTGCTGAGAGGAGAGAACAGAAGCTGCTCTCCAGAGCAAGCCAAGAAAGAAGAAGGCGAGAAGAGGGCCAGAGATCTGGTTTTGTTTGGTGACACCCTTGGGGGTCACATGTCACACGCTGACCCACACTGGCTGGCCAGTAAGGTCTGTGGGGGGAAGGGTTGTCCCCAGGTGTGAACGGTGAGGAACTGTGGATTGTGAGTTCCTTTGTCCAGTGGAGCAAAGAAACATTTGGTCTCTTGAATGGTGAGTCCCAACAATTACCTTCTGTAATCACCAGAACATCCAGCATGCAGGTATATGCTGTATGTTAACATGAGGTCTCAGATGTCAGGGTCATGGTGTACTGTTGATAGAAAGGTGATCTTTGATGATGGTGGACTGACCGTGAGGTTCAGATGATGATGATGATGATGATGATGATGATGAAGGGTCAAATACTCTTGAATCATCAAGACTCAGAGAAACATCTTTAAATACAAGTTATAGTTTACTGGTGAAACTCTACATTTTAGTTTTATCATTCAAAAGTTTGAAAGACTTTAAAATCAAGGGTTATGTGTAACTGCATCCTTTTGTCATGATAATTAAATTAAACTCCAAAATCACACAGAATCATATTCTGGTAAAATATCAGAAGACCTCAGATCCTCAGATCCCCAGAGGTACTCCAGATGTAACTGTGAAAAGGTCAGACAGGTTATTTTTATGAAGTTCTGTTTGACAGATAAGAATGAGACCAACTGTCGACACTGAACCGTGTGTCTGCTTTTTCTGACCCACATACCCAGGGCGCCCATACAGGTCCCAGGTACTCTGCAAACACATAACAGCGATTGAATGAATGAATGAATGAATGTATGAAAGCTGTGTTTCTGTCTTTCTCTTCTAGCTGACTGTAAATATCGCTTTGGTAGTTGGGGAGAGTGTGATCCAAGCTCTGGCTCACGGACCAGAACAGGGACATTGAAGAGGGCTCTGTACAATGCACAGTGTCAACAGACCATCTCTGTCTCCAAACCCTGTCATGGAAAACCAAGACAAAAACCAAAGGTTAGACTGCTAGATGTTTCTATGTCTCATAGAGAAGAACTAACTGTGATGTAACTGTGATGTATCTGTGATGTAACTGTGATTGTTTGTGATACCACTATGATGTAACTTTGATGTATCTGTGATGTCACTTTAATTTGTCTGTGATGTAACTGTGATATAACTGTGATGTCACTGTGATGTGTCTGTGATGTCACAGATGTAACTGTGATGTGTCGGTGATGTCACTGTGATATGTCACTGTGATGTAACGTGATGTATCATGATGTATCTGTCTTTGGCAGCCTTATTTCAGCTTTTCATGTTTTCAACATTTGCTTGGACATGCTCCTATTGTGGATTGTGGATATGATGAATGTCTAGTGTAATCCATCAGGTTGTATTTATTTCACCAGAACCACAAACATCGACCTCACGGTAGAGATGAGATGTCCCAGGATCACTAAAGTGGTCAGGACTCATCCTCTGGGGACCATTGTACAAAATTACAATTAATTCATTAGTTGTTGAGATGATTCAGTCTGGACCAAAGTGGAGGATGAACCAATATCCCTAAAACCAAACCAGTAGCATTAAAATCATACTTAGCTGGTTCTGTTAGAGACTGTCTGTTCTGGTATCAGGGGACCTAAAGCTGTCTGTCTTTATTCCTCAGAGGATGATCTAATCATCCTGATGAAACTAGTTTCACAGTCAGGCTGAAAATTCCACCTATGCACAGGAAATATTTAAATCTAATGATGTAGTTATTCACTGAGCTCAATCCTTTTCACCTGAGGATGAACCCCTCTAACCTGAGGACAAGGTTTAGAAGAACACAAACTCTGTATGTGTCCTCTCTGTACTGTTGACGTGTAACACACTCTCCTGGCTGTAAACAGAGTTCAGAGCCTTTAGACTTGTCTCCTTCACTCTCTGTGCCTGAGGACCAGCTGAGCTGCCACTTTATTTCTGATTCTCTGTTGTTCACATACAGACAGCTACGAGTTGGTGTGAGTAATTTGTGTGTCTGTGTTTGTGTCTTTATTCCAGGAGAGAAGAGAGAAGACCAGAGGCACCAGAAACAGGGTGTAGAGAGGGCAGACCAGAGTCTGAACCAGAGTCTGAACCTGTCCTCTGACTGCTGGACAGTGGTCCAACACTTAAGATTTATAGTCTGATCTCCATATCCATATTTCTGAGTCTTCTCCACAGCCGTGACAAAAACACAATTTTTATTTTAAACAGAAAACACAAGTCTACAGAATGAAGTGAGTTTTTACCTGTGGCATCAGCACCAGATTCATATTATAATTTTTTCTTCAGATCACATGTTATAAATTCCTATCACTTTAAATATGTTGTTCTCAGGACCAAACCTCCAGGCCTCCAGTCCACTTTAGCTGCTCTGATAGTGGAGCTGGTTTAACTTTTCTGTGCTGTGGGTTTGAATCATTTTATTAATCCTGAACAATCTTGGACGTGTCAGTAGTACACACATGCATGCATGCACGCACGCACGCACGCACGCACGCACGCACGCATACACTGTATGTTGCATTGTTTGAGCCTCTTGGCTCAACAAGCAGCCAAGAATTAGCCACTTAAGTTATTCTAACTACCAGAGTTACCTGCCAATCAAACATCACATTCAAAAACTTCCTGTAGAACCACAAAGCTCCTGTTTCTGTCACTTTGAACATTGTAAATACATTTCTCTGTTTCCTCCTCTTCACAGTGATCACTCTCTCTCTCCTAATACAGTGTGATTTACAGTTTTCTGTTGTTTATTAAAAGTGAAGAACACACTGTGTCTTTGTGTTATTTCAGACTTTTTAACTCTTGGTTTGCAGACCTGGAAGAACCGTGTATCTGTATTCTCTAATGTATAACTGAGCACTGGGCCCCAGTACCAGACTTTAGATCCTGGACTCTCAGTGAGGTAGAATATAATCTGCTCCTCTATACACTGACTTTAATATGGAATCAGTTTTTAAAGGTTATACAACACTATTATTTGATGAGTGAGTATCAGTAATGTTGGGATGACTGAGTCTTTAAAACAGATGAGAAGCAGGTAAGTCAGAATAAAGAAAGCCCAGCTGTGTTAATGCTGTATCTTCTTCACTGTAAGAGAAGTTATGGGGAATAGCAATAGAGACTCATGGACATGTCACTCTATTGGAAATATCATTCAGTGTTCAGCACTGTAAATTCTTGTTCTACACAAATACACGGGTACAATACACAAACCTGTATTGATGACTTCATTAATGATGTTTTAGTCAGGACCAAACAAAGTGTTTATTTCTATCCACAGTGAGTTGTATTTGTTGTATTTGTTGTAGTTGTTGTATGTGTTGTATTTGTTGTAGTTGTTGTATTTTGTTGTAGTTGTTGCATTTATTGTAGTTGTTGTATTTGTTGTAGTAGTTGTATTTGTTGTAGTTGTTGTATTTGGAATCCGGCTCTACTGAGTCAGATGAACATGCTATAACATTTCAATATTTGGACCTGACCGGGACCCAGGCTGTGGGTCATGAATCCTGATTGGCTGATGAAGAGGAGGCTGGACGTGGCAGGAGGACAGGTGAGGAGGAGGACAAGTGAGGAGGTGAACAGGTGAGGAGGTAGACATGTGGGCAGGAGGTAAGATGAGGAGGAGGACAGGTGAGGAGGAAGACAGGTGAGCAGGAGGACAGGTGAGGAGTAGGACAGGTGAAGTTCAGGAAACACAAACAGAAAAGAAATCGGTCTCTGTAAAACTCTTGAGACTCAATGACCTGAGTCTGGATGGATTTACCTGGTCAGATACTGAAGACTGCTTGAGGCACTCATTTGCTGATTGACTGATTGGCTGCAGGTGCGTGCAGACACATACACACACACACACACACACACAACACACACACACACACACACACAAACAGACATGAAATAAACATGAAAAACTACGAAAAGACCAGAGACCAGAGTCCTGAGGGAGGAACTAGAGACTGACTTTACCAACACCAGTTAGCAGAAAGTCTGCAGGTGAACCAAAGAGAGTTCAGCTAAGTTGTTTTCATCTGTTTAAACTGCTTACCTGTTAGCATACAGGTTCAGCTATTGTTAGCTCACTTGACAAGCTGCAAAATATATCTGAACAAATTAGCTATTCAAATCACGGTCAGCAGGGCAAAAAATTTAAAAAACATACATTATTCTATTGTAGCCTTCAAAAAAACAAAGCAGCACGCTGCATGTATGTTTTATAGCCTGTGAAAATTCTCTGTCTTATGGGCCAACAACCAGAGCCCTAGGGTCCAGACCAGAACAGACCTCAGTCACAACAGACACAGCAGCTGGGTCTGCAGCTTGTAGCAGGCTAAATACATACAAGTGAATCAGATGAGCTGTCAGCTGATGTGAGCTTCTCTCAGCTGGTGGACTCGGATTGTAAACTGAGCCTGACCTTGTGGCCGAACTAATTCAGACAGGCCACTGATGTTTTGTGCCTGACTTTGTGGCCTGCTAACACTGATGTTTTGTGCTGCTCTTCCAGAGCAGAGTGTAGTAGTAGGCTCAGGCAACATGAAAGTAAATATAAATCATAATTTGACAAAAGATGTTTATTTATCCACAGAGTTGAGTTAAAAGGAAAATAAACTGGAATCAAAGAGACTGATCATTATCCCATATGTTGTTATTGTTGGTGTGAGAATAAAGGACTAGTTAGTAAGTTAGTCAGTTAATTTTTTTGTCTTCAGAACGATGTGCCTTTTAGGTTTAGGAGAGTATTGAACCATATCTATTTATTACAATAATAATAATAATAATAATAATAATAATAGTAACAGTAATAATAATAATATAATAATAATAATAATAATAATAATAATGTTCTCATCCATTTGGAACATAATGATGTTGATGAAAGATTATTGGATCTAATACAGCTGTGGGAACACTAAACAATTATATCAAAACAACACTCACATGTTTGTAGAATTTATTGTTGCTGTAATAATTCTTCTTCCTGTTCACTGTAAATCCTACAGTTCAGATGAAGCTCATGATTCATCAGATGTCTCACTTAGATGAAGTGGTGAAGACAGTCTTTCAGGTAGAAACAGACACAGTGGTCGGATCATTTCATGTAGGTTTGTTGTAAGGACACAGAAGTCTTAATCGCTGATCTCTTATTACAGCTACCATTAACTCTTCAAATGTCATGTGACTGTTGTATGAAAATGAGCAGAATCTGTCCTTTAAGGACAATAAAACATCTATGTTCCTGTTAGAACCAGTCAGAGTTAATATCATATTATTATGATAAAAATTAATATGATATTATTATGATAATATAGTAATACCGCAGTTACTGTTTTTATTTCTTTATTAGAAAGAGCTGTCACATTTCTCTCTAGTTGTATAAAGAAATTGTTTGACATATGATGTGTGATGTGTTTGTTTGATCATGGAGATTTGATGTCATATGAATTTGATCTCACTCTGATCTGATGACCTGATTTGTCAGTCTCTGTCAAACACCTACATCACATGCACATTCAGCCTCTTTCATACACATATTTCCACACATCTGCTCACATACTTCCACACACCTACACACACCCAGTGTGTCACTGATCGTTTGATGTAGGTGAGAGAAGAACGCTTTCATCAATAAATAAACAGTTCCCTGCAGCACTGATTTATTCTGCTGTCTTCATCTCAGGATTCACATGTGGTTCAGGCTTCACACATGTCCATAATGATGTTTGAGAAGTCCTGTTCATCAACATCATGTTTCAGTGTCACTGTCTGATCTCTATACACGTGTTCATGTTCTTGGTTCTGCTGTTGTTTCTTTTTCATATATAAGCATTACTGCACATTATAACAAATCTCTTTCAAGCATGTTACTGAATTACAAAGAGGTGATCTTATCAGAGGATCAGTTCACCGACCAGGTAAACCTCACTAATAACATGACTTAAAGCAGCAGTAAATGAGAAAAACTGTTCAAGGCCATTAGAATAAAGAGGAGATAAGAACAGTACAAAGGAATATGAAAACCTACAGGGACGAGTCTTCAACAGGGACTCAGAGGAAACAGGACTCAGACTGATACAGAAACCCAAAGGACATCTTATCTCATTAACTAATGAGCAGGACCTTGTTAATGATTTAATAAGCTTTTGTTGTACAATACAGAAGTAACTCAAAGTAGCTGTGGCTCTGTTGTCACAGCTGTGAGCTCTGGACTCTGGACACCCTCCTCCCAGAGACTGTGGTTTATAAATTAAGTGCTTCATTCATTCCTCTGAACATGATCTTGTCCTGTCTATCGCGGACATGAGGATTTGTTGTTGTGTTGATTGAAGTCTGCTACTTGTGATTTAACTGACATTTTAGAAAATATCTAACCAGTTTTATATATTATAAAACAATATTAGATATATTAGATATTACATTTGCTGCTTAAGCGCAGTCTTTGAATTTATTGCAACATGTGTCAGGGCCAAGACACAATCATCGTTGATTTGGTTTATACTATGAGACTGATCTTAAACACTCATGCTATTGACGACTTATTTGTGTCTTTAATGCTGACATGAATCCACCCACGGTACTCGCCGCTCTCTCTGCTGACAACTTTTCCTCTGTCTTTGCTGACCTTAGTAAGGATATGACTTTCCCTGTGACCAGTGACCTTTAACAACCTTTACCTTTTAAAAATGAATCGATTCGTAGAGTTAACTCATCCCCTTGGATAAACAAAAACATTGTCTAAAAATATGTGCAAGGTTCATTGTTCATGAAGGAACTACTTTCATCTTTTAATCAGAAAGTGACAGAGGTGAGAACCTCCACCTGTTCTGGTCTTTTCAAATGATGAGTGTGAAACTTTTTATCGTTCTGTGTGGATAAGGTCACATTATTCCCTTCCTGTACCCCTGGGGTTGACTATCCAACCCACGTTTCTCTATTTAGAGTTTAATCTCTTTGCTAGAACTCATTGTTTGTCTCTCAATGCGTCCCTCTTTTCATCCCTCTTCTCTTCACATTGTTCCAGCCTCCCTTTTTAAGATGTTTCCAGCTTCTTACATACATATGTAGTGTATTATCCACTTCATTCCTTCCTTCTTAAACAGTTTAAATTGTTATAGATCCTTCCTTTATGTAAGTTTATTAATAAGTTAAAGTCTTTGTCAATTAAAGTTTTATTAAAGGTTTCTTTGAAATTACATATTATAAGTTAAGGTTAAGGAATGTTTATTAGGGGTAAATCTGCTTACTCCTCAGGTTTTCTGTCTCCTACTAAATAGGATACTCAGGATGTGTGGGTCCTTTTTCTGGACCAAGAGGTTAGAGATCAGAGGTCATTGACCAGATATGGTCGACAATTTGAGTGAAGGCCCTTCTATTAAAAGAAAGGTTCATCCCAAAGGTGGGATGAGACAGATAAATAGAGGGGTTTGTGAGACAGTAGGAGAGGGTTCTCACATTGGCAGAGATACTCCAGGATTCGGCATTTTTTGACACTGTTTCTTTCTTGTTAATAAACTTCTTTTGAATTACAAGCAAAGACGTGTCGGCGGTGATCACTTCTTCACATCAGCACCTCAAGATACCACACATACACTACATAGTGTATGTATGGACTATTATTCAGCCCCTCTTTAAAAACGCCAAGTCTGGACCCATGACTTAGTAGAAAGTTGTTTGTAACCTGCTTCTTCAGGTCCTCGACAACAATAATTTTGCTATT